AACAAATAAGTAAATTATAAAAAAACGCCACTACTCAGTAAGCCGTAGGATGTGCTGGAGCATTTAAAGCGAATGGCTCCCCTTGGAGTTGTGTGACCAGCCCTGCAGTTTGGCATTGTGCCAAGAGCTTCACAGATGTTATTTATTGTTGCACCTTCTGAGAGGGGTATGTTACTCATTTAATTAGTAAGAAAACCCAGACTTATCAGATAAGCTGACTGTGCAGGGCCAGGCAGTTAGGATGTGGAAGAGCAGGACTCAGAACTCAGGCCTTTGGCCACTGAGCAATGACACAGTCCTGGGGTCCTTGGCTGAGATATGCCCAGCCACTCTGTGTCTGTGCGTGTAAGAGTTTACATACCACTGCTTTGGTGTCACAGTGGTTAAGAGCTCGGCTGCTAACCAAAAGGTCGGCAGTTCGAATCCACCAGCCGCTCCTTGGAAATCCTACAGGGGCACATCTACTCTGTCCTATAGGGTTGCCATGAGTCAGAATCAACTTGACTGCAACGGGTTTGGTTTTTTTTTTTAGGCTGTGTGCGGGAGCACTTAGTCCTCGGGCATAGCACAGTGGTGAAGTATATGGCTGGCCCCAGAACACCTGGCTGCCAGCCAGCTCTCCTATAGTCCAGTTGTATGTCCCTGGCCTGTTACCCTCTCTGTGCCTCAGTTTCTTCCCCTATAACAGGAACAGAAGAATGATAATAGTACCCACTCTCCTGAGGACTAAGTGAGTTGCTGTGGAGTTGACTCTAACTCATGGCAACCCCATGTGTGTCAGAGCAGAACAGTGCCCCACAGGGTTTTCAAAGGCTGATTTTTCAGAAGTAGATTGCCAGGCCTTTCTTCCGAGGTACCTCTGGTGGGTTTGAACTGCCAACCTTTCAGTTAGTTGTTGGGTGCTTAACCGTCTGCACCATGCTGGAATCCCTTCTGAGGACTAAAGCAGTTACAAACGGAAAGAGCTCAGAACAGTACGGAGTCAATAAGTGTGGGCATGTATTATTTAAAAATGTGTGCTCAGTTAAGATAAATGAGTGGTGCTGAGGTCATTAATTCATTCCTTTCTTCTGAAAATTCAAACCCTGAGGCCGTCTCAGTTAAGATGTGCTGACTGGCCATTCCACAGATGGTGGAGATTTACAGGGCCGCAGTCACAGACTTGGAGCTGAACACCCAGGCGCTTGGGTTCTCGCTTACCCCAGGGTGGGATTCAATCAGCCTGGGAAGAGGACTGCACCCATCAGAACCAAAGACACGCCAGGAAAAAAATGCCATCCCACTGGCTTCAGAATATGCAGCCATCTACTGAGGGATAAGCCTGTTTACTTCCCCTGACATCATCTCCAGAGCAGTGCCATGGCCAGAGCCACAGTTTGGACCCAGTTCTGCGGAGCTCGAGAAGAGGGCTCCGGCTGCCTTCCAGGCCACCTGCTAAATCTGCTGACAGTCACAGGCAGGCTGGTGCCCCCAGGACTGACGAGATGGCTGTGGGCCCTGCTTCGACTATTTCCCGAGTAGGAAGAGGACGAGAGCCGCCTTGGGGGAGGGCGGGCAGGAGGGGAAGGTTCCATTAGGTGGCAGGAAGGGAGGGGCTTCCTGTGAGGGGGAGCCCCAAGGAGCATGCCTTGGCTCCAGCTTGGCCCCTGAGACTTAAAGAGCTTCCCTGGTGCTTAATTGCTCCCAACTTCCCACCCCACCACCACCTTCCAGAAACCTTTCAGCGTCAGGGAACTCCCCATGGCTTCTCCAACAATGTGACTTCACAGTTAGGTCCCTTCTCTGACAACCTTGGAAGACAGGAGAGGAAGAGAAAAAAAAGACCAGGAGGGAGAAGAGAAATCATAGGAAAATGCCACATCTGTGGGCAGAGCCGGGCATGGAGGGAGGAAACTTTGTCTTTGTGTGTAAAGCTTTTCATGAATTTTCATGGTAGTGGTCTCAATATTTGTCCTTTTGTGATTGACTTATTTCACTCAGCCTAACACCCTCCAGATTTATCCACGTTGTAAGATACTTTGCAGATTCATTATTTTTCTTTATTGTTGCATAGTACTCCATTGTGTGTATGTACCATAGTTGATCCATTCTGGAGGGAGGAAACTTCGAAGGGCAAACCAAAACCAGGAGCCGTGGTGGTGCAACAGTTAAGCACTCAGCTTTTAAGCAAAAGGCTGGTGGTTTGAAACCACCCAGTGGCTCCTTGGGAGAAAGACCTGGCGATCTGCTCCTATGAAGATTACAGTCAAGAAAATCTTATGGGGCAGTTCTTCTCTGTCACATGGGGTTGCTATGAGTCGAAATCAACTTGACAGCACCCAACAACAAACCAAAACCAAACCTGTTGCCATCGCGTCAATTCCGACTCACGGTGACCCCATGTGTTATAGACTAGCTGTTCCATAGACACAGGCTGTGTCTGTCGGTTTGTCAAACTGGGGTGGCTTGTGTGTCGCTGTGATGCTGGAAGCTATGGCACCAGTATTTCAAATACCAGCAGGGTCACTTATGGTGGACATGTTTCAGCAGAGCTTCCAGACTAAGACAGACTAGGAAGAAAGACCTGGTGGTCTACTTCTGAAAAAATTGGCTGATAAAAACCTTATGAATAGCAGTGGAACATTGTGTGATATAGTGCCAGAAGAAGAGCTCCCCAGGTTTGCAGGCATTCAAAATATGACTAAGAAAGAGCTACTCCCTCAAAGTAGAGTTGACCTTCATGACGTGGACGGAGTAAAGCTTTCAGGAACTTCATTTGCTGATGTGGCACAACTCAACTTGGTGAAGTAGAGGGTCAGTGAAAAAGAGGAAGGCCCTCGATGATACGGATTGACACCGTGATTGTGACAATGGGCTCAAACATAGCAACGATTGTGAGGATGGCACAGGACTGGGCTGTGTTTTGCTCCACTGTATGTAGGGTTGCTATGAGACGGCACCTAACAACAACATTTACAGAAGCAGATTGCCAGCCTTTTTTTCATGGCACAGCTGGGTGGGTTCAAGCTGCCCATCTTGAGGTTAGTAGTTGAGAGAAAACCATTCGCGCCACCCAGGGAGCTTTGAAGAAGAGTAGAGTTTAGAAACAATCTAAAGAAGAGCAGATATAAGCCAAACAAACAAAAAACAAAAAAGCAAAACCAAAGTAGGTTGGGGCTAGATTAAGAACAGCAGCTCCTGGAGCCAGACCTCTGAGAGTTACTGGTGTCAGAGGCACAAAAGGTAGAGACCACAGGGCAGATGTGTTTGCAGTGCAGCTTCACAGCCTCCCTGGTGCAAACCGAACTGCCCTTTCCAAAGGTCATTCAAATGGATTTCTTTTCCCCTCATCTCACTTAAGAAGCCTTTTCTCCAACAGCTTTGGTGCAGAAATGACTTGGCTGAAAGGATCTGGGGCATCTGGTTGGTGAATGTGGGCGGGGGTTTTAACTTCAGAAAAGGTCACTTACATTCACCAGCTAGATCATTCTTCGCTCCCAAAAAGAGCTACTTGGCTGGGAAGCATCCTTTTCTACCCCCAGGACTTTTAAGTCTAACTCAGTTGCTTTTCATCAAGGCTCAGCATCACATTTTTTGATGCCTCCAGGGCACAGTCTGAGCTGCTCACCCTCCCATTAGAGAGAGATCCACCCCAGAGCAGGCATAGCTGAGGCACAAGTACCCGCAGAGCCCCCAGAAAAGCCTTCCGAGCCCAAAGCAATTCTCCTTGGGGCCGGGGGGCTTCAAAAGGGTCCTCTCCCCTTTGGTGAAAATGGAGTTTCTGGGTGGTGTAAACAATGTGCTCAGCTGCTAATGGAAAGATTGGAGGTTCCAATCCACCCACAGGGGCCTCAGAAGAAAAGCCTTCTAGTTCTGAAAAATCAGCCATTGAAAACTCTCTGGAGCACAGTTCTGCTTTGACACACATGGGATCATCATGAGTCAGAATGGACTTGATGGCAACTTTTTTTTTTTTTGGTGGAAATAGGGCATGACTTCCTGCCATAGCCAAGTCCACCCCAGGACCAGATGTCACTTGGTTTACATGACTTGGACGGTGGTTTCTGGATACGGGTCCACAGCAAACTGGAAGTACCTAGACAATTTAAGCTCATGACTCACACTTTCACCATTTTTTTTCCTTCCTTTTTTAGCCTGCTGAAATGACAACTTCCCTTGTTTTTTTTACCATTCACTTTTACACTTTTCCATTATTGTTAGCAAGCATAACGTTGACAGGTGAGCGTAACGTTGTTAGGTGAGCACAGTGCGTGATGTTGATAGATGAGCATGATGTGAGGTGTTTATAGGTGAGCATGGTGAGTGTGGATCCCAATGTTTTTCTTACTGATTCTGTGACCTTTAAGAGATTACGCGCTCTAAGCCTCAGTTTCTCCAGCTGTGAAATGGGCATTACACTCCCGGTCTCCTGGGTTGCTCTAAGGGGATGGTGTGATAATATACCCAACCCTAGTTAACTGCCTAGTGGCAGGTGAAATGTGTATCCTACTTCCCCCCACCACTGGCCCCCACCACAAAGAAGGACCCTCCCTTGTCCACCCAGGCTTAGCATCCTTGTGTATCCTGAGTCAACATGTATTCCTCAGAATCATCCAAAGGAGGCTCTGGGCTATGAATCTAACTGAAAACTGGGGTGGGTGTGGAGAGAAGAAATTATACCATTCTGATGGAATTCTTGTCAAGCAGAAGGGCATCTAAGCTCAGTGGCCCAGAAGCACAAAGGGTGCTCCAAGGTACAAGATGGTCTGGCAAAAGGCCAGAGAAAGAAGGACGGGATAGTCCCACCTCCATTCACTACTTTATAAAGATCGCAGGCTAGTTGGTGGGAGTATGGGGGTTTCCATGCAGGGTGTCAAGGCCGCTCCAAGGTGCAGGCTCTGGGAGGGTATGCACATGCAGGACGCCGTCAGCCCCCAGCCCCACCCACTGGCATCTGGAGGGCTGGCGAGCCCGCACAGGGGACCCAGCACCAGCTCTCATGGTAGACAGGCAGATGTTATCTCTGTTTATTTTTTCAAAGCAAAACTAAAAAACCACCACTCAAAATATTTGAGGGGAGTGCTCAATCACAGTTAAAAAGCTTTATGTAATATGCAGTGCGAACTTCACTGACTGCGGGTCAGAGGTCAGTGTTCCTGACAGGGCTGGGACAGGCCTGGGAGGTCTCAGCATCCCACTCGCTTCTCTTCGGCCTCCATCACACTGTTCTCTCGGTGAAATGCTGGCGGGAGAGAAACATGCCACAACCCAGTCAGAGCAGACGGCTGTGCGATTCCACCGAGGTTGGCACCATCCGTACAGGAAACCCATTTCCGTTCCCTACTGGGCTTCTGATTTCACCGTCCGTCACAGGAAGTGCCCCTCACGCCCTCCCCCCATGAAGGTCCTAACACTTTCACAAAGAAGGCAGGCGGGCCAGGTCCAAGTTCTTAGAAGGCAGATGGAAGGGCAGTCCGGCTCGTGGCCCAGTCCTCACCCAGAAGGGCTGACTCCTTGCCTGTGCCCCACTGAGCCTGAGGGTGAGACATCGATTGGGTGTCATCATCGTTCGTGCTTAATGTTGGCTTCATTTCTCTCCAAGGTGACCCCACTGCCATTCCGAGGGCCTTCCTTCTTGTTCCAGTCCCTTTCGGTGTAAAACTCGGCTAGCACGGGGCAATGTTCAGAAGCCACTCCACCCCAGGACCAGTTGTCCGGAATCCAAGGGTTTGTGAGACCTTCTCTCACTACAGCCCAGTGACCTGAAGGACAGGGACAAGAGACCCAGGAATCAGGTTAGAGGGATGGGGAAGGGTCACAATCTGGCAAGTGGAAGGCCCATGGCTGCAAGCCCAGGTTCCTGCTGATACCCCTCAGTTTTCTAGCTTGCCTGTGCAAATGGAATGCCTTAGCCAATTTTATTTTCTGGATGAATGAGGGTTTACCCATTTAGTCACTGAAACTACCCTGAGTCCAGGCGTCCAGCCCATTCAGATGTGCATCCCCATATGGACTGATCTCCTCGTTATTTATGGATCCCGCTTCTAATCTGACCAGCATGTTAAGCATTTGACACAGGGACAGACGCCTCATAAAGATGTTCAAAGTTAAAGTCTTATATTGCGAAAGAAAAGACACTAAGGGGGTGGGGTGGGGATAATACATTCTTCCTACAAAATAGGTAATACAGAGAAAGATACAGGGCTTAATGAGAAGTACAGGTATTTCAAAACAAAGATTTAGAAATACATAAAACAGGAGGTGCATTTGAACAACGAAATAACAATTATGAAAATTACAGGACAATGAGAAAGCAATTGCTGTGGTCCTCAGTATAAGCCATGTCAAGGCTAATGTAAGATCTACTGGGAGATGGTCAAGAGAGGGGAGGCCTGGGTGCTGGTCTGAGGTTTGGCCTAGCCAGCTCACAGCTCTGTGATGGTGGCATCTCCTCCCTGGCCTCAGTTTCTACAGCTTAACTGGAAGGGGGCAGATGAAATGATTTCTAGCTTCCTTGCGGCCCTGCCTTCTGGGGTTCTCCTCTCTGTGAGAGCAGGTCACTTTCACCGGCACCCTCCTGGGACCCTGGGCAGGCTGTGGGCTGGACTCCACTCCTGGCCAGCATTGTGTTTCTTCAAACCACCTCTTGCCTAGTTTGATGATCAAGTCATTCCCCTTGAGACCCACTGCTGTCATCCTTTGGGCCCTCCCACGACAGAGTCTGATAGGTAACCTATGCCCAGAGAGAGGTAGAAGTAGCTGGTGCCAAAGCCAGGACTGGAAATCATAGGCCTGAGGCCCTCAGCCTTGGCTGCACACAGGTCTCCCATGGTGCGGCCCAGGCATCAATACTTCTGTTTTCAAACTTCTCACAGAAGTATGACATACATCCATTGGTACTTTGTCAAGCTTCCAGCCAGGGTTGAGAAACTTGTCTACACTTCTGATTACCTTTTCCCTGACAAAATGTCTATCCTACAGGTCACTAGTTTGGGGGCAAAAGTGTGACTGCCTTTCAGTGCTGAGATGACACAACAGATCCAAGTCATCTGAGAGTCCTGTCTAAAGTACTTCTCCCATTCTATCATGACACTATGGGACATGTCTGCCACCTCCACCTCAGGGCACTCGCAGCATGTCAGTAAACGGTATTCCATAACACAGCACTGGACAGGTAACAGGGCTGGATGAATGTTTGCTGAATGACTATGTGTCCTTAATATTAGGGTAAGTTATCAGCTCATCTCTGAATGAGGACTCTGCTAGCCTACAACCAGGTGAACACACCTTCCAGTTTACCTGGGACATAGCTGGTTTGTACCTGTTCTCAGTCACTTAGTGCTATGTAATTATTTTTAACATCCCCTCTGTTTGAATGATAATCACAGTCATCCGAATGATAACCTTATAAAGCCCCACAAAAGAGAAAGGACCACTCCTGACTCCACTTAAACCAATCATCTGGAGCTGTCAGCTCAGACAGTTTTCTCTAACTCCGTTTCTGAACAGGAGAAGGAACCAGGGGGTTTGGCTTTACCTGTGAAAAGCTTCTTTAAGCTTTTACTGATCCAGATGTTGTCCAGGGACTTGGAGCCTTGAGGGTTCTTGGTGCTGATGTTGGTGAAGGTATGTGCGGGGATCAGGTGGTAGAATTTTTCTTTCCTCAAGATATCGTAGTCACTGCTATCTGGCCCTTGACCGAAATCCCCTAAAATAATCACGTCTTTTTCTCCTGCAAGTGGAAGAAAGAAGAAGAATTTAAGAGCTGGTGAGAAGTAATGCCCACCACTGACCAGAGCCCCATCTAAACGGCACCTCGATGATCTGATCTGACTCCCCAGGGCTGGGGCTGCTGGAATCGTTCTCATTCTCCCAAGTTTCTTGTGAAAAAAACCCTGGAAAGTCTAGCTTAAAAATTAAGAGTAAGCTAATAACACACCTGGAAGTGGGGGTGAGGAGGGGTGTGATGCAGAAATCAGTTCAAGCTCATAGGTTCCAAATCTCATAGTAGAAAAAGGCCTAAGGGTCTTGCTCAGATTTTTAACAAAAGCTCAACAAATATTTGTTGAATATTTGCTAAGGGCCTACCTGTGCAAAGGGATTCAGAGATGAATAAAACAAACTTCACTCTGTAGAAGCTCAGAGTCTAATGGGAAAGGCAGACTGGAAAACAGACAAGAGTAGAGCATAGGTGTAAAAGCAAAAATATGTACAGGGTACAGCATGGCACAGGGGAAGAGTGGTCAGGGAAGGCTCCCTGGAGGAGGCAGTGCCTGATCTGGGTCTTAGAGGATGCACAGGAGTTCTCAGGTCAACAAGGAAGAGAGGGAACCTGTGCGAAGGCAGAGAATTGTGGAATAGCCTGGTTTTGGGGTGGGGGAGCTGTAAGTAGTTAGGTGCTTTTGGGTATAAGGTACAAAGAAGGGAGTTGTTAAAAATGAGGCTGGAGATGTCAGCAGCAGCTAATCCTTTAATGGAAAGTGTGTTCTGTCTCCCTGAGGTTCAAATTCAGATCAGTGGACCAGAGGAGAAGGCTGGGTCTTCCCGGCATTCAGTGAACTGCCCATAGCATCCATCTACCATGTCGATGGATACAATCTATTTTACCATTGTCCTGTTGCTGGCCATCTTTTAGGTTGTCTCTATACCCACTTCTGTAAATAATGGTGAAGTGTGTATCTCATTCAAAAATCTGTGTTCCTGCTTTTTTTTTTTTTTAAATAATATTTTATTGTATTTTTGGTGAAAGTTTACACAACAAATTAGGTTCCCATTTGACAATTCCTATACAAATTGTTCAGTGACGTTAGTGACATTTTTCACTGTGTCAACTTTCTCTTTAACTGTGTTCTGGTTGTTCTGTTTCTAGTGATCTAATTTCCCTGCCTTCTTATCTTCTCTTTTTTGCCTTAGAGTAATTGTTGACCTTCTGGTCTCATATATTAAAAACCCATTGCCATCGAGTTGATGCCGACTCATAGCGGCCCTAGGTATGGATGGACGGAGCATTGAACTCATGGATAATATCCCTTATTTTGTGTGCCAATCTGTTATTTCACTAACAGTGACCTTAGGGATAGTTTTGGTTCAAAGTTTAAAGAGTATCTCAGGGTGAGAGTTTCAGGGAGTCCTCTAGTCTTAACTGGTCCACGAAGTCTGAACTTTTTCATAATTTGAGTTCTGTTCCGCATTTTTCTCCTGTTCTATCAGCGTCCATCTATTGTGGCCCTGATCAGAACAGTCGGTAGTGGCAGCTGGGCTCCATCTAGTTCTTCTGGTCTCGGGGTAGCTGAGGCCATGGACTAGTTTCCTCTCTGACATTTTGGTTTCCTTCTTTCTCCTTCGCTCCTGACAAGTAGGGACCAATAGTTGTATCTTAGATAGCTGCTTGCAAGCTTTTAAGACCTCAGATGCTACTCACCTCACTACGATGAAGAACATGAAGTTTGTGAACTATATTATGCCAACTGACTGAGTTGTCCCATGAGTCTAAGGTGCTAAGCTTTCAAACCCAGGAAACCATTCTCACAAGGTCTTTGGTTATGTCTGAGAAGTATCTGTAACTGTGTCTTCCATGAATATATATGCATGCACGTACGTATCTGTACATACACGTACATAGATACTTCTATCTGTGCACACATATGTACACACCTGTACCTACCTGTCCACATATATGCCTATACACATACATATGTGACTATACATGCATTTTTTGGTTATTGTTGGTGTTGTCAATTATATGTCATATTCTTTAGCACAAACACCCTTTTCTTTTGTGTGCTTCTTAGTGGCATTGTTTATTTTGGTCAAGCTGTAGTTCTGTCCCGCTTTATGTCCTTAATGTAGAGTCCCAGTTTAAAAGGCTGGTCATTGTTGAGGTTCTTGATACGTATTGCCAACCTACTTTCCAAAGCCTGCTCCAACTTCAGCTCTCTCCAGCAATGTGGGGATGTACTCCTTACTGCACCAAAACTGAATATTATCATTAAAAGATTAATTTGATACATGAAAACAGTGACTTCTTTCTATTTGGGTTTCTTTGATTATATTTTTTATATGTTCGCTATCTGTATTTTTCCTACTGTGAATTGCATGTCCTTTGTCTATACTTCTAGAAGGTATTAATGTTTTATTTATTGATTGGTATAAACTCTTTATATATTAGGAATATTGACTCTTTGTCCTCTATAGGAAGTGTGTTTTCTAGTTTGTCGTTTGCCTTTTAATTTGGTCTCTGACCAAATTAAAGCACACAGAAGTCTGAAATGTTTTTATGTATGTAATCTACCAAATGTTCCTAGAGGTGCCTCCCAAATCTAACAAATATTCCATTTATTTTTATGGTTTCATTTCTTGCATTTGACTCTTTAATCTACCTGGAATTTATTTTAGCATAATAAGGTAATAAATCTAGTTTTATTTTTCCCACAGTTAACCACTTATGCCAGCATCATTTCTTGAAAAGTCCTTTTCTTTCTCAACTGAATTGTGATGCCAACCTCTCTCATTTTTCACATCTTAAGTACACTGTATCTGTTTCTAAGCCTTATCTAATCATCTATGTTTATTCTTGAGCCAGTACCATGATATGTTTTATTATTATTTCTTCATTAAAAATATTTATATATTATCATGCTAGAGTTTCGATTGTGAATTTTTTTATTAAATTCATATTAACTTTATTTAATTTCCCTATCTCCAGTTAGCCAGAGGAGACCATTACCTGTTCCTTGTGTCTCCTTCTAGACAGTTCTACACATACATATGCACGCAGGCATAGTTATTTTCACATAAATGATAGTAACCTCACATATCAGCCTTTACCTTACTTTTTCACTTGTCAATATATCCTAGAGATGGATCTGGTTCCAATCAGCAGTTTTCAAACGTTATTTTTCTTTTTCAAATGGGACTCACACAATGAAATCCCAAAATGGAGTGGGTAAAAGTAGAACTGCTGATTGAAGCAGTGGCAAGGGGTATGGGTGAGGGTGCTAAAGAGTCCTTTGGGCACTGGGGAACTTCAAAAAATATTAATTGCACCCCCACCGTCAGAGATTCTGATTTAATTTGTCTCAAGCAGGCCTGGTCCTCTCAGGTGTTCCAATGGGCAGCCAGGCTTGGGACCTGCAAGGGCAACACAGGGCTCAGTTTGAAGCTCACTGCAGGAAACCTATACCTAAATTTCGTACAGGTGGATTATCTTGAAATGTATGGCTTCTCATCCAAGAACAAGCTATGTTCCTCCATTTAGTCATCTTTCTTTTTTTTAATGTTCTTTAGTAAAGTTTTCTTCATTTCACTGCCATATTTCTAAGTATTTTATATTTTGATTTTTATTATGGATGGGCTCTCTGCTTTCTAGTGTTATATCTTCCAACTGGTTATTGCTGATATGGAATCCCTGGGTGGTACAAACAGTTAATGCACTCGGCTGCTAACCAAAAGGTTGGAAGTGCAAGTCCACCCAGAGGCATCTCAGAAGCAAGGCCTGGTAATCTACTTCCAAAAAAATTAGCCCTCACAAATCCCAGGGAGCACAGTTCTACTCTATGCACATGGGGCCACCATGATTTGGGGCCGACTCGACAGCAACTTTTTTTTTTTTTAATTGCTGATATATAAAAATGTTCTAATTTTGTATTTTTATTTTGTAACAGTTTTCTTAATTCTCTTACTAGGACTAGCAGTTTTTAAAATAACTCTACGAAGATTGTTAAACTGACAATCATATTCTCTAAAAGCAGTGACTGTTTTGACTCCTTTCCCTCCAGTATTTATACCTCATTTCACCTTATTAATTTCAACTAGCTAGAGGGAAGAGCGGAACCCTGCGTGGTACAGGTGGTTAACATGCTTAGCTGCTAACCAAAAAGTTGCACCCAGAGGAGCCTCAGAAGAAAGGCCTGGTGATCTACTTCTGAAAAACCAGTTGAAAACCTTTGGAAACCTTTGGAGCACAGTTCTATTCTGACACACATGGGGTCACCATGAGTCAACGGAAGAGCAGTCACATTGTTGTTAGGTGCTGTCGAGTTGATTCTGACTCATCAGAAGGAAACACTGCCCGGTTCTGTGCCATTCACACAATCGTTGCTATGTTTGAGTCCACTGTTGCAGCCACTGTGTCAATCCATCTCCTTGAAGGTCTTCCTCTTTTTTGCTGACTCTCTACTTTAACAAACACGATGTCCTTCTCCAGGGACTTGTCCCTGCTGGTAACATGTTCAAAGTATGTGAGACAATGTTTCGCCATCCTCGCTTCTAAGGAGCATCCCAGATGTACTTCTTCCAAGACAGATTTGTTTGTTCCTCTGTCAGGCCATGGTATATTCAATATTCTTCACCAACACCATAATTCAAAGGCATCAATTCTTCCTCAGTCTTCCTTATTCATTGTCTAGCTCTCGCATGCATATGATGGGATTGAAAATACCATGGCTTGGGTCAGGCGCACCTTAGTCCTCAAAGTGACATCTTTGTTTTCGAACACTTTGAAGAGATCTTTTGCAGCAGATTTGCCCAATGCAATGAGTCGTTTGATTTCTTGACTGCTGCTTCCATGGGCATTGACTGTGTATCTAAGTTAAATGAAATCCTTGACAACTTTGGTATTTTCTCCATTTATCATGATGTTGCTTATTGGTCCAGTTGTGAGGATTTTTGTTTTCTTTATGTTGAGGTGTAATCCATACTGAAGGCTGTAGTCTTTGATCTTCATTAGTAAGT